ATTATTATCATTTCCTTCATCTACTAAAGGAAATACATTCAAATATCATCCATAATACAAGTTGATTGTTTCCAACGAAATGGAATACACATTATTATTTACACACTAGTACACAATTGATTGTTATGATTGTACAACTTTTTTTTTATCAACTACTTTATATTTGTATGTTCATATGTTGTACTTGAGTTGATTGATATTTTTTTTATATATATATACATGAGATTTGTATTCTCATCTTTATGATTACAGTTTACTGATTGTTTGAATTGTATTACTGATATTTTGTAAAATATTCTGATGAATATATGTCAATCAATAGTTAAACAATTAAAAGTTTGTTTATTATTATCATTGTGAAAATCAGATGTATTGTAATGTAGTTGACATTTCATCAATTGGCATGTTTGATATTATTATTACAATTTAAATGATTGACAATTTAAATTGAAAACAAAATTATTTCTCATAAAAAAATGATTGATTTTTTTTTCGCAATATTCAAATTAATTAACTGTCTCTGTAATTAAATTGATTGGATCATCTGATGATATCTTTTCAGTTAATAATAATTCATTTCAATTTCTGGACAATTGTTGTTGTTGTTGTTTATCATCATCATTATTGTTATTTTGATTGTTGTTATCAATTTAATGATTATCATGATGATGGAAATGATTAAGTAGTTTGATAATCATGATAGGAAATCAATGAATCCATAGGATTTTATCATTATCATCTTACTCCTTTTAAACTCCCAACCAAATGATTTATCATTTAGTTTCACTTAATGATAACAATGATATCATCATTATGATTAATGATATTGATTACAATAAATTACTAGGATGTGATTTACACTAATCACAACAATCAAAAGAAAAACCCAATTTCAATTGATTAGTAAATTAGTGGCCAGTTAATTGTTGTTGGTCAAACAATTGAAACTAAAGGAAAAAGTTTTTCTTTCCTAACCAAACCCATAATTATCACCAGTTAAATCAACATTCATTATTAACATTGGACAATTATAATTATCACAATGGTTTTAGAAAAAGTTACAAGTCAACAATTAACAAAAAAAAACAAGAAATAATTAAATCCCAACAATTAATCATGATAATCATCTCTCTCTCTCTCTAATCATATTATCATTTAATTTAAAATGATGATGAATAAAACTCAATACCAACACCGAAAGAGTTTAAAACATTAATTGATAACAATGATAATAATTGCATGATAATTGTTGGAAAACTATCAAAGGGAATTAAAGTAACAATTAAAATGATTTCAACTGTGGTTCATCATGATTAACGTGTTTTCAAGGGAAATTATCATGTTGCCGTTGAATTGAAAGTATCAATCAATTGATTGATTTATCACTTATCATGAACAGGAATGAGATATGCAAAATCAATTGAAATATCATGAAAGTGTGACAAATATTCATTGAAAAGGAACCGAAAAACACTTACAGATGAAAAACAATCAAAAAACGATAAGTAAATGTAAGACTGATGAAAAAAAGATGAGGATGCTAAATGTATTTTTTTATTCTCATTTTATTTTATTTTTATTTTTATTTTCTTTTTTGACTTTACCATTGAATGGCTATTTCGTTGTTCGATTTCCAGTCCATTTTTCATTCCTAATCGATTTCATCTTTATCCAAATTCAAGATCATTATTCATCCTCATCTTCGTCCTCTATCCCTCAGTATATCTTCCCACTTTGTTCATCTTATTTTATCACTCATTCAAACTACTACAACTCACTTGGAATAAGACAATCATCCTCTCTCTCTCTCTCTCTCACTCACTCTATCTTTCGTCATATGATATTCGCATCATCCTTTATATATCATCATTATCTTTCATAATCTCTCTCTCTCTCTCTCAATTGTTTCTCATCCGTTTTCATGTTTTTTTGTTTCTTCGCAATACCAACACATCAAAACCCAATGTTGATAAAACAACAATGAATGAGATCTAACTTTTTTTCCTGGTTATGGTCTATGGACTCAAATCCATCTTAATCATCTTTGTCATCTCCCTCACTGACTCTTTCTCTCCTCGTCTTCTCCCAGCACCACTTTCTGTCCACCCTCATCGTTAATCTTTATCCTCTTGCTTTTATTTTGTCTTCATCTCTTGCCTCATCCTCATCATATTATCACACATTAATTTTTTTACTCTTATACTCACTAACTCGGTTTTACTTTTATCCAAGTTCATTCATTGGAAAAACAAAAGACTCTTGGACTTAAGATTATGATGATGATGATCATCATCATCTTAATCATGATTATCATCAAAAAGAGACCAAAACAAAATCCTAGCAATCTAAAGTCTTTAACCTCTTCCGTCAATCCAATTGTTTCAATCCAATTGTCTTAACATTTTACTTACAGTCCAGTTAATTTTGATCCAATTGTAGTAAAAGATAATTGCGATTATCAACCAACAGAATCAAATCAACAATAAATAAAACACCCATTAAATCATATTGTTGGTTAACAATTAAAAACAATTCTCTCAGTCAAACTCATCCAATAACAATCATTTATCATCATTAAATGTAACAATTAAGATTAAATTTGAAAATATATTGACCATTGATTGTTTCCCTTAACAAGTAACAGTTAATCAAGTTTTTCAACTCAATTAAATGAACCAAATTTGCTCAAACCTGATTCTTAATAAGCAAATTAAATTATCAATATCATCATCATCATTATCACTAAATAACTAAATAGTAGCAATTAATAATTTAAAGATTCTGTTGATTTAAATGATTCATCTTGATTTACTTTTTGTTAGATATCTTAATCGTTAATCTAGAAAAACTTTAATTAATATTAATCATTGGTCTCTCTCTCTCTCTCTCTCTCTCTCTGATGGATAATAAAACTTTTTAATTGCAATCAAATTTTCAAAAGAATCAAGTTACATCACAATCAAAGTTAATCATCTTTTAGGTTGATTAACAAAAATTTTCAAGGTAAAACAATTTGATTTACAATTTGATGGAAAAGTTTTCAGAAAATGAGAAATAATATCTATTAATATATACATTGACCAACACAATTAACAGATAAATTGTAATTAAATTTCACATTTAATGAGAGAAAAAAAGTAGTAATTATAATGATAAATACTAAAGGTGAGGAAAATAAGTGTCACCTTTACATTTGTCACCTTTGTCGCTAATCCAATTGGATATTCACAGGTAATATACAAGATTATAAGCTGTTTGAAAATCCAATTGAAATAACAATTGAAGAAACTGTTAATCTCCTCTCAATGGGTTTTTCTTTACTCATTTCAAATGATTTATTATTTTTCAATTTACTTTTGTAAAAACTATTATATTTGAATAACCTGTTAATTTATTCAACAATTTACCTGGATTATAACACTTTCTGACAACAAGGTGTAATCATATTTTCATTATCATGATAAATAGTCTACGATTTGTATTTCCAGGTAGATGAGAAAGACACTGAGCAAGAAACTTTTTTCCACCTCCACCAAAGTTTTACCTCTTTTTCATATGATCATCATAATGATAATCTAACTTGTATGTTAACACCAATTGATATTATTGTTTACCTTTTTACTTTACTCTTTCATCATAATCATTATCCTTAATCTTAATCTTCATCTTATCATAAATTTTAATGTTGACAATTGAATTGTCAAGATTAACAGGATAATGGTATTTTCATCATATTTATACATAAATATATATAAGATATCGTTTCGTGCTGAATGAGAACTGGAAAAGAGGGATATTGATAATACACTTTAATGATGATTCGGATGAAAAGATGATGATGATGATGATAATGATGATAGTGATGATGAGAGGACATGAAATAATATCTTTCTGTTATCACTTGAAGAGCAAAACTTTTATCATGTTTTTGTCTTTATCCTTAAATGATAATGTTCATTTTCAAATGTATATTTCATGGGATATTGAAACAAATCCATTTCAATTGCCTGAACAAAATCCATGATCATGATAATCATTATATTGGTTTTTTACTTACACTTTAATACAGAATCAATCTCATGTTTATCCCACATCATCCCCATCAATGGGTATCCTTTTTCATCCTTTTCATCCTCTTATCACATCACTATTGGTCATCAAGATGATGATTATGATGATGATAAGCAAGGAAAGGAATGAAACTCATTTTCATGGAGAGAGATGAAAGAGTCAAGTAATATTTGTGAGAGAGAAAAAAATAACTACAACTTTTACTTTGAATCATCAATAAACATAACCGATTTGAGATGTTTGGGTGAAAAATGATTTCAATGGAAACGATGAAATTACAGTTATCATCCAATGAATTTCATCGTGTCTATCCATTGTTTCATGATGGATATCTTTCCATGTTATTCATTTGTTTATATCCTCCATGGTTACGATCATATAATAGCTATCTCATTATTCAGTTTCATGGGAACTTTTTTCTTGTTCATTACTAATGTAATCATATCTCTTTTTATGTCTCTCTCTCTCTCTCTCTCTCTCTCTCTCTCTCTCTCTCATTCTCTGTCAGCATCCTCATCAGTTTCTCATTTATCCTTTTTATCCATTTCCTCTTTTTCTCCTCCCACTCCCTCATCTTTTCATTATTTTCTCAATATCATCATATTCCATTTTTTTCCTTCCTTATTTTTCCCATGTTCATATTTCCGGTCAACTCTCTTGACCATAGACATGTTAATAGTTACATGATAACGTAACATAAAATCACCTCTGATTAACCTTCACAATTGCAATAATAATAATAATCATCATAATAATAATTACTTATTGACAGTCAACAGCGTAATTAATGAATCATTGAGAAGTCAATCAACTGATTACCTAAATCTTAATTTCACCCAATCAATAATGATGTTATAATGATAATAACAATAATAATATCTAATAAAAGCCAAAATATTTTTTTCTTTTCTTTTTCTTGTTATTTACAGTTAACTTTTTTACTCTTCATCTTATCACAATTTATACTGTCCAGTAGCAGTGGGTCATCAATACAAACCATCAAAGATAAAGGAGGAGGAGGAAGATCAAAGGCAGGAGAGGAAGTGGTAGAAAGTAACAGAGTGGAAAAGACATTTTCAAGAATAAGAAGAAAAATCCATGAAAAGGATGAACTTATATCTTCATCTTCATCTTCATCATTATCTTTATCCAATCAATTGGATTACACAAACGGATTTTCAATGTACATTCCTCCATCATCTTCTTCATCATCTTTATCATCATCATCATCATCAAATGCTCACTCCAATAATACACCACATTCAAGCCTATCATCATCAAGAAATCATCCTAAAACTGTAGTTTATCATCTTAACGTGAACGTAAGTAATTATCTAATTTTCCATGATTAAATATCATGACAGTAACGCCGGGGAAAAAATAACCACGAATTCACACCTTAATTTCAATGAAACCCTCTCTCACTCACTCACCTTTCCACTCACCTAATTTTTACCTCTTCCCCTTTAACCACATGGGAATAGGTTATTCATATATTTCCCCTGGAATAATAATCATCATCATGTAAAGAAGTTCAAGAAAATGTATTTTTTTTTCTTCATCATTCGAGATGAGAAATGAGCAGCTAAAAACTGTCAACTCTTATGTATATATTATATTGGAATTGAGTTGAACCCTGTAACTACAGAAATAGATGTTGATAAACATGATAAATTTTCATGTTCATCAAAATGAATCCCTTTTAAATTAGATAAATATGAAGGTTGATTGTTGATTAAGAAGCCTCACTTGACTTCCTCTTCAATCATTGTCATCATCTTCCTCTGTATCCTCATCATCCCTCTAATTGAATTCAATTTTCAACTAAATTGCATTCAAATTATTTTCCATCTCTCTCTCATCATTCATATTATCATCTCATTCTCTATTACTTATCACCTCGAATATTAAATCTAAGAACTTAGAACTTGAGAGAAAAAAGTTTTCATAAACTTTTGATTTCGAAGCTAAAATTAAATAAATAACCAGCAAATACACATTGATTAAATTGCCAGAAATTTACATATATGAACATTATTATCTTCACCTATTCATTATATTCACGTAAGGTTATCTGTAGGTGTTATCATTTTCATGATAATCATCATCATCATTAACACAATAATCAATCATAAATGATAAATCAATATGCTAATCAGTGATTAATATTTATTGTTAACCAAATGGTTAGGACAGTTTTTTATGTTTCCATTGCAATTATCATTCAGATTGATAGTTATATTTATTTCTTGGTCTGATATTGATTGCAATTGATTAGCTGATTGTCTGAGATTGAATTTTATTATTATCAGACAACTTTTTTTATATTAATTCCTCCCATCAGTTAATTGTGTTGATATTGATTTTGATTTGGCGGGAAAATGTTGATTATCAGATTTTGTTGTTTAATATTATCATCAAAAGGTCAATCAAGTACAAACCTGAGGTCAAATAAACTTATTGTTTATGATTATTTAATGTTTGATTTACAAATTTAATTGATTGTAAATATCATTCATTCAGTTAATCAAATAATCTTCATCTCGAAAGATTTACATTTTGTTTATTCACTTTGATTTTAGAAGGTAATTTAATCATCCCGTTAATTATTTACTGAAAATATTATCTAAATAATTAATAATTTATATAAATTATTAGTTATATATCTTAATATCACATGAATCAGATTAATTTCATGTTAATCAATAAGAAACAAGTAAGATAATGTTTTATAATAACCCTTAAGGTTAATTAGATTTAATCTAGTTATCTAAAGGCACACACAGCCTTTGACGATTTAGTTAACTATAATTTGTGGCCAATTTTCAATTCTTACTCTAATCATGAAGTTCTGATAGTCACAAGGGAAACTTTATTTACATGATTTATATACTTTTGTGTGAAAATTGTTGATGAAATTCAGAATCGGATGAGAAAAGGGGAAAGTTTTTCAAATCTTGAGAGTGTCATTGTTTCAGAACGTTCATATTTTGACAATCACATCTCCTTCGTCTCTTTTTCTTTTATATTTTTCTTGTTAATGTATTCATCATCATCATCATCGTTATCATTAACATGATTATCACCATGTGAGGTTGAGAAAAGAGAGGCAGATATTCAGTCAATCGATGAATACAAGATTATGTTGATGAAGATGAAGAAGTAAAGAAATGATGAGGAAGTGGAAAAATGAAGAGAAGGAGAGAAAATTTAACTTTCATTTTTTCGTTTTATTATTCAATGAACTTTGATATAAATTCAGATGAACAGAGGAAACGAAATCAAAAAAGAGAGAGAGAGAGAGAGAGAGAGAGAGTCATAAAGTGTGAAAAAAACTGTGCGGGTTTTGAGCTACCAGAAAATATCAATGATCATGTTAACATAACATTCATTAAATTTTATTTATGATTAATACGAAATTTCAATTGAAATGTTCAAATATTCATTGGATTAGAAATGAGATTTACCTCTTTCAATGTTTTTTTATCTTCACATTTCTCTCTCTCTCTCTCTCTCTCTCTCTCTCTCTGGCGAATGATGTTTGAGTCTCTTTTAACTCATTGTATCTCATTCAGTTGTAAAAACACATTAAATATCCATGTTTGTATTACTATGATGATGACGATGATGAGAGAGAGATCAGGATGATGATGCGGATGAGAAATGATCATTATCATCATGCAATTTTATCATCACCAAAGGGAAGAAACTTTTAGCTAAAAAAGGAAAAACAAATTAGACTCAATGGGAATTCTGAATTATCATGAATATGCTTTCTAATTGTTCATTTTCTGGTTACAATCATTTTCTTGCCAAAATCGTTAATCACTCAAAAAAAGAAGAAGACAAGATAAGATGACGAGAAGATAAACTGTATCAGAACAATAGTTTAAACCCATAAGAACATTATGACAATTTAAAGATTTGCATGATGATTAAGCTTCCTAGTTATCACCATTTGATTACAGAAAATTATCAAAACGATGAAAAGTTGATGATTAATTAAACAATCATGATTGATTATCGTTGATTTGATCATTGTCACCATCATTATCTAAATAGCTTCAAGAAAGTCTAATGATCATAAATTCAATAGTCACAAAAGCATCGAGTCGGTTTGAAGTTAAAAAGTTCAATTGAAACATCATGAAGCTAATCATTTGAATCTTCAAATCACAAGATCATCATGATGATCCTGAGCATTTCGATTTCATTTGATTAATATGGAACAATTTTCCAAGATATATAAAAGGACAATAATGAAGATATTGATCAAGGAAGATGGCGATTTAAAGAGAGTAAAAAATTGTTGGAATCATTATCATCTCTCTTAACCTTAATCAATGGAAAGGTGAAAATGAGAGTGAAGATGAGGATGAAAGAGTGATGAGTGTTCAGCTGACAAGAAAAGATTTTCCAAATTCTATTGTTGTATCATCATTATCATCATCATCATAATCATTATTTTCATTTTACTGTTACTATTATTTACTATTATTATCATTATATTTCATGTTCCCACAGACGAAAAAGTTCAATGTAAAAAAACATGAAGAGAGAGAGAGAGAGAGAGAGAGTAAGAGAAAAAGAGAGGAAAAATTATACACCAAGAATCTTCTCATCATGGTGATGATGAGAAGGATATAAGCTAGAAATTGCTCTTTTGTAACAAGATTTATAACAAGTTTTAGAGAGAGACATTAAAACTTATACTCGACAGTAAAAACATGGACACACAACACATTCAAAAAAAAGTTCATTCGATTTATACTGAACTTTACTGAACTGATAACATGGTGAGAGAAAGGGAGAGAGTAATAACAGAGAACAAAAAAGTTCGAATTTTTTTCTTCTCTTTTGGTTTTTTGTTCCTCTCTCTTTCTCTCCCTCTCTCTCTCTCTTACCAACATCATGTACTTATAACTGTTCAGTTTGATTCTGATAGATTGAAGAAAGGAAAAAATTCCAAGTTCCCTAGATAATATCATGGTGATAATGATAACTACCGATGAAGATGATACCATGATGATGATGAAAAACATGTTGATGATCAAGAGAGAGAGAGAGAGAGAGAGAGTTAAAAGTTCAAAGGCTTAAAGATGAGTACGATAAATATTATATGAAGATGATGAAAAAAATGAGGAAGACAAAAAATCATCAACATTCTTCATGATGAGATATCATATGTTCCTTAGTATTGTTAACAAGATTAAGAGGATAAATAATTGAATCATCATGAATAAGAGGATAAAGAATAATGAATTGATCATGATCATGATCAAATTGGTGATAAATTTGTGTTACCATTACAACAATTTACCTTGATAATCATTTAATTATTTAAACATCTCAACATTTACTCCTGTTTTTCACTTACGATTCAATTTGCTTCTTAATATAATTAACTTTGAGAACAAATTAGTTGTGTACCTTGATTGTTATGATACTAATTAACTGGAAATCATTGTTTTCCACCATAGAAAATAATTAAGGCGTATTTAGTTTTACATTCATGGTTAAATTGTCGAAGAAATTAAACAAATTTTGCAACAATTAACTTTTACTTGTACATTACCATTGAAAGTTAGTTAACTGTTTTTGTTGTTTTCTTGTTGATTGTGTCAAGATAAGATTAAGATTAATTATTTTCATCATCATATTTTAATCCATATGATTGATTAGATTCCAATTATTGTTAATGATAGTAAAGTAATTAATCAAAAAATAATAACAAACAATTCAGTCAACAGCTAATTATTATCATCTATGAGAAGTCAATGTAACAATTTAAAGAGTATCTCATTGCTGTAATAACTTTTACTTTAGTTAAACAAAGAAAAATACCTGAGATTTGATGATGAAGATGATAAATGTAATGATAATTACATTTTAAAGATGATGAAAGATGATAAGTGACCCCAATGAACAGATTAAGATATAATCCATTGTCCAAGTTTTGGACTCAAGTACAACGATAAAACTAATCCATGAATTTAGATTCATTATAAACTGAATAAAAGACCGCGAAAAATTAAAAATAAACAGAAAAAAAGTTTAGCGGTTGAAGATTTTTATTCATTAATGATTAGCATCATTATAAGTCGAACATGATTGAGTTAATTAATTTTAGATATTGTGAGAAATATCGTCAAGAATTCCTCTTTCAATTCGTTGTTTTTAGAGGGCATGAACTGGTCCATGAGGGTAATTATGGTGATGGAAACTTTTACAGCATTCAAATTCATGATGATTGTTGGATAATCAGAGTTGTTATTTTGGAAACAAAAGACAAACTGATATTTTGACTGATTCATATGAAATTTAGTGATGAACAAAAAGTAAATTAATTACAAACAAAAGCTTAAATCTATTGATTTAATTGTGGCTAATTCGCACGGGCGATTAAAGATAAAAAATAACGAGCAATTTAGTCAACAGCTAATTAAGATACATTAATTTACATGTACTTATTAACAGTAAATCAATGTCAATGTTAAAGATATAACCTTGATCAATGATCAATTTAATTGTTGATATTGGTGTAAAGTTAATTACGAATACACAATTGAAGACACAACTATTAAGGTTACAGTAAAATGAAAAAGAAACAGAGGTTAATGATTAACAATTAAAATTGACAGTTAATCAAAATAATGATTAAGTTAATCATCAGTATAAACAATTTAAATTGTTACAATTCAACAGCAAACATTTAACTGAAATGTTTATGTTTATCTGAACAGTATTTTTGTTGATCATCAAGCTAATAAATGATTAGCTAATCATTGGTTAATATTGAGGATTATCATTAGTATTATTATTACATAAAGATTAGGATGATGATGAGAAAGTAATAATCTTTCAAGAGTCAATATTATCATTATCATCTATAAGAAGTCAATGTAACAATTTAAAGAGTATCTCATTGCTGTAATAACTTTTACTTTAGTTAAACAAAGAAAAATACCTGAGATTTGATGATGAAGATGATAAATGTAATGATAATTACATTTTAAAGATGATGAAAGATGATAAGTGACCCCAATGAACAGATTAAGATATAATCCATTGCCTATGGTTTAGGATGATCTTTTCTTGTAATGAAATCTTTGTACAGGGTTACACCTTTCCATTCATATTCTTTCAATCAAAACTTGACCATCGATGTTTACAATCTACATCTTGACCACATGGTCACTCTAGACTTACTATGGAGTTTGTTGTTATTTTTGTAAAATCTCTCTCTCTCTCTCTCTCTCTCTCTCTCTCTCAAGTATCAACGAAACGAAAAGCAAAAAAAGAAAGAGAAATATCAACTTGGAAAGCATTTTTACCTTTCGCCATTACTATCAAGCGTAAATTTAGTTAATTACATTTTCCAATTACCTTGTTGCTTATAACTCTTAACATGTTTACTTTATGATGATGATAAATCTCAGAGATCGAAGGTCATTTCAATTTCGACTTAGCAATAATCGCCATTTTGATTCTCAATAGTGCAACAATCTTTTTCACCATCATCATCATTAGGTATTTGTTACCTTTTGTTTATCTTCATTTCCGTTTCCTCATCTTTTTCTTTCACTTTTTGAATGGGTCAAAAAGAGATACAAGTAGAAAACAACATCGAAAGAAATTTTTCTTCCAACATCTTCTTTTTTCAGATTCGATTACACATGAAATACATAAACCCTTTCAGGCAATTCTTGTGATGGTTAAGAACCAGCAACGTACAATTTATTAGTTCCAAAATATTATTAATAGAGAATTTAGAGAATAACATGTTAAAAGTGAAAGAAGAAGAGAATTTAAAGTATTAGAACGACTGAAGATGATATTCGGTTTGAGAGAAAAAAATCAGTCTTTGAGAGAGAAGATGGAAGATGATGGAAAATTGGTATGAGGAAGTTAAACTCTCATTCTAATCATCAGCTCATCTCTTTTGGTTCGTGTTCTTAAGGAGGCGAAAGAAGAAACCAAAAAGTGTTTACAGCAATTTCCACAATCCTCTGAAAAGAAAAATCTTAATCCATTGTTAATCTTATCTTAAGGTCTCATTAGCATTTAGGGTCAAAGGTAGAACATGAGATTCATTCATTGAAAGAAACGATAAGGTAAAGTTTTCACCTTGATCAAAATCTCAACAACATTGTATCAAATATTATCCAACGATATTATCGAATAAGTTGAAATTCAATCCAATGGTTATAAGTTTCAAGAACTTGAGCCTGATAAGTTTTCTATGGAAGGAATTTGTGTTCTTTCATCCTTTTCAATTTTTACCTTTGACCCTTCATGTTAATGAGGCTTTAAGACTAACAATGAATTAAGACTTTTCTTTGTGACTCCAAACCAAAAAGAAAAGAAAACCCGAACAGGTAAAGTCGATAGACCTTAGAATATGTGCAATTCTCATCATCCTTATCTTCTTAGTGTAACTTACCTTTACCGCCTTTTACTTATAGTGAGAGAGAACAAGTGAGTGAGAGAGAGAAAGAGACTTTCACTCCAAGGTGAGTTTCTCAATTGAACCAGAAAAAGAAAATATGAAATTTTTGAATCAATTCAATTTGTTTTGTTTTTCTAATTGACAGATTAAATTGATTGGAACAGATTATAGATATTCTATTATTATTATTATATTATAATCTATTAATTTATGGTTAATAGATGTACTCAAACAATCAGCTTAATTATTAACCATTATCATGATTAATAATTAACCGGCTAATTGAGAAGCTCATTGATTTGCTTACCTACAAAATAATAGATTAAATTAAATGATCCAATTTAAGTTTGATTGTAAATAATTACATAATCCTTGTTGTTATCGTATAATCCTGTGATTAAACAATTGTAATTACAATATTCTGATCAACAAGTTATTTGATTGATAACAATTAATGATATTCAACTAGAATCCATATAAAGGTAACTTTATCTACCTGATAAAGTTACAAAAACTATTAATACATTTTCCTCAATATTTTATCCCAAAATTAAACTTTTAATCTTAATCCACTAATTTCACTTAATCCAATTCATATTACTTGCAATTGATCAACTTTGTAAGGTTGCTAATTAAGAGTCTCGATGATCATATAAATTAACTGTAATTCAACACCAAGAAATTACAATTTAACAATTGAATGAGTTTCAATTTAGTTACACAAGAAAATTAAACGTTCTAACCGATAACAACTTCGATAAAGGTAAAAGAGCTTCAGTGAAAAACAGCGTAAGTCGATTCGAAGTAAACTTAGAACCGGAAGACCTTCGAGGTCACCAAAGATGACTAATATCATTTTCGACATTTTGAAGCTGGTGAAGCCATAATCTTAATCCTCTCAATTGTAGAAACAGAGACGACCACTAAACAGTTCTAATCCGTTTTATACTTGAAGGGTGTGGATTTGTGTATGTGTATGTGTATATCTAACGGCTTAATCTTTTTCTGGTCAGTGGTTTCCATTCAAAACTAATGATTACCTTTGCAATTTGAAAATCTACCTTAACCATCATCAACCTAATCATATAGTTGAAAGTTAACAGTAATTGCTATTTGTTTAACTTTTTTTTCATCCTCGATCCTTGGTAATAGTTATCATCATGAATACCTGTGGGTTTTTGCTGTTCATCATCATCATCATCAGGCACCTTTTCAATTTACTCACATACCTGAAATTTTTCATTTAATGTTCCAAATGCAATCAAAATTATTATTGCCATGTTATTAATTAATCATTTTCCCTCATCATCAATCTCATTTACACCCACTTGGAAATATATATTTCGGTGATTAATTCATTTCTCTATTACTATTTTCAGGGTAAATCAGCTCATGAAAAGCCTGTTATTAGACATTCACATGGTATCTTGGGTCAATCGGTTACCTGGACACCAACAGAATCGCCATCACAATCAACAATCAATGTAGTTTCTTATTCTTGGCGGGAAACTGGTTTCACTGATTGTAGTTTATCTTGTCTGGGAGGTAAGTTGGTCAACTGAATGATTAGCTAATTGTTGATATAAATTGATAATTAATCTCTTTTTGCTAATCCTTAGGTATCAGAGAAAATATAATCAACTGTATTCGAGATAATGATTCAATGATTGTCTCCCAATACTTATGCAATATTGAAGATAAACCAGATTCTATCACACAGACTTGTAATGATCAACCTTGTCCACCCAGGTAAGTGTTTATGTCCAGTGTCCAATGTCCATTTCGATGGTCAATAATTGATTTTATTAATTCCAAGTTAATTGTGATAGATTTGCAATGGTTTTCAGGTTATTCATCTCATGTTTAACCAACAAGAAAAATTTAAAACATACTATTAACCTATTCATGACATGTATCAACCATCATGATCAAGACAACTTGAAAGGTTTGATTGACAATTAACTTTGGAAAAATATTCCCAACAATTTAAATTATGCAAAACCAATGGTTAATTGTTCATGTAACTGTAGGTTTATGATTAGCTTAAATATCATAGATTAATTTGATGATGTGTATAACCAGAAAAAGAAAAGGCATTTTATCATCCAAAATGCTGAATAATTATTCATATTCTGTTGCATGATAATATGAGATATTAATTAATCTTCACCTTTATCCATCTTAAAGGTATCATGTTGGTGAATGGGGTCAATGTGTTGGAACTTGTGGATCAGGAACACGAACTCGAACTGTTTTATGTAAAATTTTACTCGATTTTTCAAAAATGTATTCAATTGTTCCGGACGATGAATGTCCTGGTATTAAACCAGAATCAACTGAATCGTGTTTCCTACCTCCATGTTCAACATCAGCAGATGATGATGAAGATGCTAAATATTTACCTGGAAACTATGCTGCTCTTATAGCATCTTCATCATCTACAACAGTATCAACACCAACATCAACCGTCAATTCAGTTAACTACTATTGGCAAGATTCTGGTTACACTGAATGTAGTGCATCTTGTTTGGGAGGTTAGTTAGCACCGAATAACGGTAAATCAAATTGTCAGTGTTATCTCTCTCTCTCTCTCTCTCGTCCTATCATTCACTCAGGTACCCAAGAAAATATAATCCAATGTATTCGGGACAATGATACAATGATTGTCTCTCAATACCTGTGCAATATTGAAGAGAAACCAGAATCGATTACCAAAACTTGTAATGACCATCCTTGTCCACCAAGGTAAGTTTTTTTTGCTCGAGTTTGATACTTTTATATGATAGTTATGTTTCATGAATTCGTCGGTCAATTGACTTATTGTGAATTTTAACCTTAATTTACTTTAGATGGACAACAACTGACTTTGGACCTTGTTCTAAACCTTGTGGAGCCGGTGTTCAAATACGAGAGGTAAAGTGTATCCATGAGGTTACTCGAGGTTTCGAAAATGCTTTACATGTACCACATGATAGGTGTATCGAACCTAAGCCAATCGAGGAGAGAGTTTGTAATGAAGATCCTTGTCCAACCTCTTCGCCTATTGATAAAGTGTCGCAAGGTAATAAATGTAAAGGAGAAAACTGTCTTATCGAAGGTAAAAAGAAACGAAAGTGTAGCAAAGATCGATCATCATTATCGAACTCACATCCATCAAAATGCAATAAAAAGAAGAAAAAATCTAAACACACCGATTGTAAATCGGGTAAGTGTAAATCTAAACACGGAGGTGGAACAGAGAGTGACAATAATACCATTGATCCTTATGGTCAACCATTCATTCAAACACAAAATGAGAAGAAAGTTTCACTTCGAATTGGTGGAACGGCGATCATTCATGAAGGAACGATTCTTAAGATTCGTTGTCCTAGAAGAAAAATGGAAAATGACCTTTTACCCGACATTGAGTGGACCAAAAACGATTTTGCAATTAATTATGATGATAAGATTAGTCTCACTCGTCTTGGTGCTCTTAAAATTCACGATGTTGACTTTACCGATTCGGGGACTTACACTTGTGCCTATGGAAATACAAAGTTATCGATGACAGTTCAAGTTGTCGCGTTTAAACCAACCACATCCACCACAACAACACAAGCAACTTACCTGGACAATGGTGAATCAATTAATTATGCAATCGAAACAAAAGAACCACCAAGTATCCCTGATGATTATAGTGGTCAGTTGAAGACTGGACCATCACCACCATATGAATTGGACTCAAGGAAACGAGGGTCAAGTTTGAATGAATTGTCATCTTATTTTAAGAAAAATAAACTCGATGATCCTAATAAACTGGACAACCAGGAGAAACCAACTTGGTACCAGTTACGTAAAATTGGTCAAGAGATTAATAATAACAATCGCAATTGGGATCTGATGAAATCGAAGGACATTGAGAATCGGCCAATTTATTATGCTGACCAACAGTCAAGTCAATTGTTTCATAATGTTGCTGATGATGATTCTCGATACCTTAAATCTGGTCAATCCACCAAAGGGACAGTCGATGAAGCTAAAGAATCGAGAATACTGAATAAAGTGAAACTGTCTGATGAAAAGTGCCTTACCATCCAATCCAATTTCCGATTCGGTTGACCAATACATTTCAGGAAAACTGATTAAAAGGGAATTTGTTTGGTTGGTCAGTCCATGGTCATCATGTTCAGTTGCTTGTGGAGGTGAAGGATTTGAGGTAAGAATATTTTTCCATCTTCTTGAAAAAAAAACTTCTCATTGAAATGATGACCAATCTTTTAACTTGTCCATTTGAATAATTGATCTATTTCATTAGGTTCGCGCTATTAAATGTATTGAAAAACATTCAAATGTATCGATCGATCAGGATGAGGCCTCATGTATCAATTCTGGCCTTGGTAAGCCTGAGACGAATCGTACTTGTCACATTGAATGTCCAAAGTGGACAACCGGACCATGGGGAGAGGTAAGTGAAAGCTACAAGAGAAAAGGAAAAAATTGAAATTTTCATCTCCGATTCGATTATCAAAATTTTCCTTATTTTTTTTCTCTCATTCAGTGTTCCAAGTGTTTAAGCTTCGGACAAGGTAAACAAACTCGAGATGTAAATTGTACTCTTTCCGGTGGGAAAATTTTACCACCAACTTCATGTGACATGAATAAATATCCCGCCGCTGCTCAGACCTGTTCAAATGTCGATTGTAGGCCAATGTGGTACTCTAGTAAATGGTCACCCTGTTCGGGTGTTTGTGGTAAAGAGGGTACACAAGATCGGACAGTTGATTGTGTCTGGTTAGCTGATAGATTAATGAAAACAGTTAATTGTGATCAAGCAAATAAACCAATAACTGTTAGAAAGTGCCATGTACATTGTGATAAAGATAAAAATTGTAAGTTAATCACAATTTAATTGATTGATTGAACAATTAACCCTTAATTAACCTTTTCCATTTAATTATATTCCTTTTCCTTTACAGTTGATTGTGTTAATGCTTCATTCCTATGTAAATATGCTGTCTCTCAATCTTGTGGTCATCCTGTCTTCCGGTCATCTTGCTGTAAATCTTGTCGTGATTCCGATTTCATAACAATTAAAAGTTAATCATTTGGAAAAAGAAACACAATTAAAACCATTACCTTACAATCAACTGGACATCAACCATTTAAAAGGTTAAAATGTAAAAAAATAAATCCAAACAATTAACAGATAACTGAATCAATTTTGATTGTAAAACTTTTTCGTTCCCAATTTACATTTACAATTTGTTTTAATAACTTTTATTTATATTTAATGTTAATTGATAATAACATTAAATTCACACGATAACAATCAATTTAATTAGATTGTAATAATTGTACAGCAAAAAGTTAATCAACATCCTTTGATTATCAGGAAACACAATCAATTAAATTACCAAACAATTAAATAATAGTTATACAAACACACATAAAGATTGATTGAAAACAAACAATGTAATATAATAATAATTACTTAATTATTAACCCTTTAATTGCTGATTGAACAATTAAATTGTAATCAATTTTCAACCAAATTACACTCATTTAATCATTTAATCATTTAGACAAAATTGAACAGTTAATTTGAATACAAATCGCACAATTAATGTTGGCGGGAAAACTTTTCAATCATTTTGGTGACAATTATTTTTGTCGTTTTTTGTTTCATCATTTAATTAGGATAAGTAAATAAAGACCAAATTGTTGGTTAATCAAATTAACTGATTACCCAAATGATTTACTTTATGATTGTTTGATTGGTCAGGTATTAATTGTAAACAGAATTGATTCAATGTTTGGATATTCAATCAAAGTTATCAACAAATTGGATGAAGGTTTTGTATATCCTCGAGAGTAAATGTTAATATTATCACCTTAAGGTTAATCTACCTTGAGGATTAGTACATGTTTGTGATGCCGAGGGATAAATTAATCTCAATTTGTTTCTGAATGTCAATTTACACCCAAAGTATTACAGAAAAAGTTTTGATAATCACAAGGGAAAATTTATTTATCACCATGATTAATATATTCATGTGGGAATTTCTGATCATATTGAAAATGAGACAAGTATTAATATATTAATAGTAAATAATATGTTGCAAGGTAAAAATTTTCTCAAGTTTTTTTGAGTGTCAATAATATTAACAAGCTCCTCATCTACTCTTATCACCATCATTATCACCTCCCTTCTCAACCTCCTTATCATTGTAGCTTCTTCATGTTAATATCTTCATCTTCATCATCATCATCGTTATCATTAACATGATTATCACCATGTGAGGTTGGGAAAAGAGAGGCAGATATTCAGTCAATCGATGAATACAAGATTATGTTGATGAAGATGAAGAAGTAAAGAAATGATGAGGAAGTGGAAAAATGAAGAGAAGGAGAGAAAATTTAACTTTCATTTTTTCGTTTTATTATTCAATGAACTTTGATATAAATTCAGATGAACAGAGGAAACGAAATCAAGAAAGAGAGAGAGAGAGAGAGAGAGAGAGAGATAAGTGTGAAAAACTGTGCGGTTTTGAGCTACCAGAAAATATCAATGATCATGTTAACATAACATTCATTAAATTTTATTTATGATTAATACGAAATTTCAATTGAAATGTTCAAATATTCATTGGATTAGAAATGAGATTTACCTCTTTCAATGTTTTTATCTTCACATCTCTCTCTCTCTCTCTCTGGCGAATGATGTTTGAGTCTCTTTTAACTCATTGTATCTCATTCAGTTGTAAAAACACATTAAATATCCATGTTTGTATTACTATGATGATGATGATGACGATGATGAGAGAGAGAGATCAGGATGATGATGCGGATGAGAAATGATCATTATCATCATGCAATTTTATCATCACCAAAGGGAAGAAACTTTTAGCTAAAAAAGGAAAAACAAATTAGACTCAATGGGAATTCTGAATTATCATGAATATGCTTTCTAATTGTTCATTTTCTTGCCAAAATCGTTAATCACTCAAAGAAAAAGACAAAGATAAGAAACGATTAAGAAATCAAAAATTGCATCATCAATGATAATGACGAAAAGTTACAAGAAAAATGATTATCACTGATGATTACTTTAAATCAGCTCACTGGTCAATAGTAACCAAATCGGGTTGATGATAATCTTTTATCTCTGTGTATCCAAGATAACAATTTCAAAAGGAAACGGAAATGATGAAGATAAAGAATATTCTTGGAATCATTTTATTCTCTTTCAAAATCACTTAACCCCTTCAAATAAGACAAAGGTGATGATAAAAATAGCTACAACTAGTAGTGTATCTTTTTCCTCAAGATTAAGGAGGAACCGGAAGAATGATGAGTTTCATCTGACAAACAAAAAAGATTTCAAATTAAGCTTCAATGTTGTATCATCATGATCATTATATTTCATGTTTTCCATGAAAAAAAAAGTTCAACATCGAACATGAAGATCAAGATGATCATGAAGAAGATGATGAGGATATAAGGTGGAAATTGCTCCATTTTAACAAGATTCAACAGAGAAATGATCATCTACTCATCGAACTTGACCATTGAACATTTCACTTCGAACAATAAGAAAATCAAAGTTTTCCATTCATTTTTTATTCGGTACTTTTTAAATTCCAATGGTAAGCAATTAATGGGAAATCGGTGCTTCTGTTTAATCAACTACGATTTGGTTGATGATAATTAACTTTCCAAATTAGGTGTGTAGACTTTGATTGCTGCGTAACTCAATTAACTTTGATCATTATCGTTTGTTACTTCAATAAGGTGCAGTTAATTGTAACAATTTTCTCAATCTAAATCTAATACACAACAATTAGGTGAAATTTTTCAATTCTTATTCCAATTTTATAATTAAAACACCGAATCTATTGATTGTATGTGTTACCATTGTTATGATTAACTAATTAGCTTTTTTTTGGTTGAAAATTATTTCTCATTGTTATCCTTAGATTAAGATCAACTTTTTTTGTTAATCCATATGATTGATTAGATTACAATTATTGTTATTGTTTATAATTGTAGGATAAGTAATTAATCAATGTAACAGAAACAATAATGATACTACCCAATGTTATTACCTTCAAACAATTAATATCCTTGATCATTAGCATCACTTTAATTGTGATATTGGTGAGAAAGTTAATTACTATTAACATCTTTTCATGTTTTATGATCAAAAATTGATCAACTAATCAACTAATCATTACATGTAAACCCAAATAATAAAAAACTAAATAAAACACACCAGAGATTAATGATCAACCATTGAACAATTTAAATTGACAGTTAATCAAAATGTTATCTAAGTTTAAAACTACATCACCATACATAAAGTAAGAAAGTAATTAAAAAAACTAAATTGTTACAATTTCAATAATAGTGCAACAATTAAGATAAATGTAAATAAATTAAGAGACATAATTAGGTTTGAAATTAGTTTCAACAACTCAATTGGTAATATAAAAGCAAATAAAAACAATAACAATTTAAAAAGTAAAACATAAACTTTTAATGGTTAATTAAAGTTGATTGCTGGTCAAGATTGAGGATTGATCAACAGTCAACATGAAGATGATGATGATGATGATGATGAAAGTAATAATAATATGAGAGTAAATATTATCATCTCAATCATCATCCAAGTGAAATGAACGTTATAATTTCAAAAACATTATCGTCAATGTAATAACTTTTTTTTTACCATAAAACGAGAAAAAAAATACTGAAGATAAAGATGATTTTCTGAACGTGTTAAGGATGAATCCAGGTAAAGATGATGATGGTAATAATAATGATGATTAAAGATGATGATTAACGATAAATACGAAGTAATAACTTTAGTCAATGACAGGTTAAGACATAATCCATTAGTTTCCATTAGAGATGACAGAGTTACCTTGTAATTAAATGTAAGTGTCCGGTCAGAAAAGGTAAGAAAAAAAAGTTATGTCCATTCACTGGATAAATAAAAAAACAGCCCAATAAATAAGTTACAATGATTATCTTATTGATCACTGGTGATAATACAATATATGGTTTGAGATTCCATGTTAATCCAGTTAACTTGATTTTAATCCTTGATTGAAAACTTCAATGGTGTGAGAGGGAAATGTAATTAGAGTGATAAATGCTAATGTGATTCAACTTGATTCCGAAATTGTTCAATCCAATTTTCATGGCTCTAAATTGTTAATCATCATCATCATCTCTCTCTCTCTCTCTCTCTCTCTCTCTTTAGGTTTGTTGTTGAATCTATTGTATGAATGGTGTGTACATGGTGATCAAGTAAATTGTAACCTGTCATGTAAATACACAGAGAAAGTTATAATTATAAACCGTTAAAGTTGATCTATTGATTACCATCATCATCTTTATCATTCTTATCAATATTATCATCTTCAAGTATTTTTTATGCTTTTAATACATTTTATATAATCCAAAGTGTTGGATTAATGGTATTCGAGAGAGAGAGAGAGATGATGATGATGATGATGATGATGAGGGTAGAAGAGGTTTTTACCCGTTAATCTAATTGTTCTCATTGAAGAAACTTTTTTTCGCAACTTTTAGCATCCTCATCATCTTACCCTCTTATCCTCGTAGATAAATTTCTCTCTCCTCTTTCTCTCTTATTACTCTTGTTCTTTTTACACCTTGTCAATCTTTTACATTTTACTCGAGTTAAAATCTACTTACTTGCGAAAAAAAATAAATAAGAGGCGAAAGAGAAAAAGCTAAAGAAGATGAGGAAGAAAATAAGCATAAGAGATGAAGAAAAAGAATAAGATGGATGAAGATGAGAATGTGTTTATCCTTGTTGACATGACTTTTACTTTCTTTTCTTTTAGTTATTTCTTATCCTCATGATGATGATGATGGTAGTAAAGTGATGAAGATGGAGAGACGAAGATGATGTTTTTCTGTTCTGATGCATAAGAATGAAGAAACAGAAGTAAATATCCACCGGAGGAAGAAAAACCAATGCAATAATAACCACAGAGATTTTTCCCTCTCTCACTCTTCTTCTTCTTCTTCTTCTCCTTCTTCTCCTCGTTGTTTGCTTCGTAATGAAAGAGGCGAAGAGAAATTAACAGTCGAAAACAACGTTAATTATTTAAAGTTAATTAAGATAGAATCCATATTATAAGAGAAGAAAAAAATGGGAGGGATGAAGAGGAGAAGATGAAGAAACCATATTAGAGAGGATCAAAGTTCAATAATTTCATGTAAGAATTATAATCAACCACCAACAGAAACAGCAACAGATTATACTCCAAGTCGAGCTCTCTCTCTCTCTCTCTCTCTCTCTCTCTCCTTGGAATATCATCCAGGTAGATGAAGGGAAAGTAATAGTTTCAAACATCACATGAAGTAATGGAAAAAAGGGTAAAACCAATAATCTCTCAACATCAATTATCTGAAAAAGAGAAAAGAAAAAAAAGAGAATTAGAAAATAATTCTGTTGATTATCGTGCGTGTGCATATCTTGTTAACTATTAGCAAAGAAAAAACAACAAAATTACCTAATTCATATCAAT